CAGTTTGATCAGTTCATCTATCGAGGGTGAGTTATTTCTCCCGAATACCATTCGACGTACTTCAGAATTGCTGATCCGGTGTTCCCACCAGATTCGGGTAATGCTCCGAAGACATCGATAGTCAAACGCTGAAAGTCTTTTGACGTCCTCAGCGCGCAGCGGCGGTAATTTGCATGCGCACTGTATCAGCAGGGATAGATCAGAATACAGCATAAAGTCTCGGGTTCCATCTATAATTTTGACGAATGAAAAGTATAGCAGGTGAAGCAGAGACAGGCAAGAACGAAAGTTATGCCGAACTAGCCACAGTTCGTTTAAAGGACCCTAACAAACAAGACCGGTTACAGTATATCCAAAGCGGAAGGATGAAAGAGGCAGCATGAGGAATCCCCTGCACACACGAAATGTACTCAAGTCACTGACCAGGCAAGGTTAGTTCGTAGCCCTGTTATTATCCAGTGAAAACACTTTGCACTTGTGTGCACCACCGAGTTGTTTTGGGGAAAACTAATCAAAGTATGACATAAGTGTTTTGATCCAATCTGGTTTCTCCCGAAGTCCTAAGTCACCGGGCCGACGGATCTTCGCTTGACTGGATGCTCGTTGATAGTCACATTCGCGCTGTCGTAATATCCTTTGATCTTAATTTTATGAAGTTTAGTCACGGAAGCAGGATGTTTGAAAAACAGGAGTCACATCCAAGACTCACTTGTGAGGGGCTTCCCTTCTGAACCGAAATCCGCAGAAACCGAGTGATTAACTGTTTTATCTTCTGGTTTGTTCTTGATATTGAAATGCACTATTCGAGCATAATTGTTCAACTGTGATTTCGAACTTGTCTGACTGGTCCCCGCTGAATCCCAGTACACAGGGCAGCATCCAACTTCCGAATCCGTGTGCACTTGAACATTCCATTCACAAGGTAACTGATGGTACATATAGGTACGATTCCAGAGCACCTTGTTTACAAGACCCTGGTAAAGAAACAAGCAAGTGTGGACCATAAAACTAGTCCATGTTACTAGTTGGTGAGATTCGAAGCTGTTTTAAACCACAGCGTTTTCAAATTGCAATACGGTTGTAAACAGATAATAACCAGTTGGTTTTTCGCCTTCCAGTAACTCTAACTGATAAAAGATATCTAAATCGTCACTCAAATCCGGAACTTCCGTTTGCGGTGCAACCTAGCCAAACTCATCCAAAAGTTGGACTACCGGATTTCAAGCAGATCTTTATATGTGCTCAATAAATAAATGGTACATTGGGATGGGAATGGGTTATGTTCGATGGTTCAGGGGCAGAATACATCAGATGCACGTTGGTTATTCTAGTGCTTGCTGGACCATAAGCATATTCGTGTTTGTACAGTAGCTAATCAATAACGCCTCCAGCCAAATAGGAGTTACTTCAGTGCAGATGTGGCAACGGCTGTCTCAAACGCCTCATGATAGAGCTCATCGGAACATTAAGCTGGCAGCCCTCCATTTGCCAGGTGGTCCTTCCCATCACACCCGCGTATATTTCAGTCGGTTTGCAACGACCGAATGTCAGAATGATCCTGGACCTGAACGGACGACCTCAGCACTCAGTACAACCCTTTCATGGAACAAGTCAAACTCCCGTAAATATATGCTTAAGATCTGCTCAACCTTGTCTTGAAAACGCGACGGACTCCGTGGAAAGAATCTCCTAATTGTTTCTCAGTTTATTAAAATGCAGAGAGAACGTAGTCCAGCTTATACCAAATTCATTTAGGTATATATTTATCACCTACCTTTGAAAAAAAACGGGATGAAAGCATCACAGCAAAGCTGGTCAAAATGAGATCAAGTCTTTTAGGTTACAAGAGATCTTAGAATCCTGAATAGTCTGAAATTAATCGTGTACCATTTAGAGTGAGAAAATTCTTCACCTTGAATTCTCATTACTTAACACATTCTTTATGTAGAAGTACCTTTGACAAAACCAGATTCCTAGACTTAATTAAGACTGACCTTGAACTCACTCATGTTTTGTTTGTTATTGCTTACTCTGGTTCCAGAGCAAACCTACTACATGCGCTGGAAACACACGACATACGAGTGCAATACTAGTTCAAGTTAGCAAAATTCACCGCTGCTTCGCAGTTGAAAGTTCCTTGAAAAAAGTGAAAAACAACAAAAATAGCTTTATTTAAAATTCTAATTGTGCATTGCAGCCACATGCTGTTATTCGTACATGCCTGATCGATCTGCCATAAGGAATCTTCATTTTCTTTTGCGCGGTTGAGTTCGGTCCACCACATTTTGCGCCATTCTTTTGACCGTAATTCGCTCACATCCAATAGCATCACTCCAGTATTAATTCCTTATGGCTGTAAAAAAGACGTGGTAAATTTCGATAGCCTATCGATATTCTGAGGTGAAGTTTTCCGGAGTATGTGATTCTGTTGACCAAAGGGACCCATGTTACAGGTCAGCTAGTTTCACACAAAACCAGTCAGCTGTTTCGTCAGAATTGGTTGTTGTTTCAGTTTGTTTTTTCGAGTTGAATTAGAGTTTCCAAGTCGTCAGGAATAACGTTCATGCCTTCCCGCGGATACCAGATTTTCACAGTTAGCAAGCAGAGTGAAGGGTATTCGCTGATAAGGGCAATGCTGACTGAGGGTCAACCGGAATAATATTCTCCGAACATGGAAACTGTTCAAACGGTATTTCTTTGAGTAGGGATTAAATTAGTGTTCTCCAACATGACGGGTAATTCGTCCACTACTGACGGGTTATTAACTGATCACTTACAGGGACGGCTGGAGATGAACAGGACTCTTGACATTCACCCGATTTTTCACACACAGCCCGAATGGCCTGGTAAAGAAAAGAAAAGATTTTGAAGGCGGGTGCGGTGTGCTTCGTGAGGATAAAACCGACCTATCAGGAGGTTCGGTTTCCTAAAAATAACTCGAGAATGTCCGAAACCTACTGAGACCCTGAAACTCCACTAGAATTCCAATAGGGAATCCGGCAGGCATCCAGGCCAATCATTCACGTAATCAATTCAGCAAAAGCCGATGGGTGTTCAGGCACGGTCGATGTTGGTAGGTATTCACTAAACGCCAATCATAGAATCTGTACCAGTGTTACAAAGTGTCCTTTAATTTGCTCGAGGCCGTTGCAACTTTTGCGCTCGCTTATTTCCAATGAGGCTGTTGTGCTGTTTGTTGGTGAGTCTTTTTCCGGCACTAACGTATTGGAGCGGGGAAAGCAGTTAGATATAACGTGGCTGTTGAATTTAACTTGACTTTATGACACATAATCACCCCATCCATTCGCTTATTCCGCCTAAGTAGTTTTGATCTCCAATTGTTTTGCTCATTCGTACCCGCCACTCACCTTGCCTCAGAGGCCGTCGTTTTCGACACTTGTGTATTGACATATGTGTCTGTGTGTGAATGTGCGCTGCTGACCTACTTATCCACGGTGCGTTTGCTGAGCCTGGCTTGACTTGTTTTCTCATGAGTTCCGTGTGATCGCACGTCCAACGAGAATCGCGAGACTGTCGTCGGAATAACCGACCGCACCCCACGCCACTGAGCAATCAATCAGCTCGCCGTTGTTCGGTGTGCGGACGTTGACACTGCACTGTGCCGGTCAGTGACAGACCTGTGAACTTGTTGACGCTACGATCGTGAACAACTGAGGTTTTTTGTACACATTTGCTTACCCGTGCGTAAATATTACCGTATAATTACCAACCCAATTCTCCCTTTTGAAACTTTTAAAAACCTTTTAAAAACTTATGAAGCCTTCTGCTTTCAAGTTTTATTCCCAAGAAGACTTTCATATGATAATATACCTCACCTTTTAAAAAGATTTACCGGATGACTTGCACAGCACACGCCTCATAGTACTAGAGCTAAAGGGACATTGCCACGCGAGACCAGAGGGCACCTTGTACTGTGATTCAACTAAAAATAGTTAAATAGTTAACCTGTTGACAATGGGAAATGAACCGAAGCAAAGCATGATGACGGTTTACACTTTAAGCTCATGTCAACCGAAAGAGTGTGATGTTCCAATTTCCAAATTCTGAAAGTTCATACCTATCTAGCTCTTCCCCGTAAGAGTCGTATTTCTAGTTTCTAACACAACGTTACCTTATCTCTTGTAAGTTTGATACACTGCAGGGAAGTCTGGTTATATTAAGGCCTGCTATAAAGAAAGTCGCTGTGTAGAAGTATAAATACATTGCGTTGCGGTTTACACATGTACTCATTCAATTTTGCAGTTTTTATTTGACTTCTTTCACAATGTGTCGGATACAATAGGTGATCATAATGGCTCAGGTTCATGATTTTAATTACTCATTAGATCCGTAAGCATAATGATACTTATATTTGTAATGCACTACTTATAAGATTGCTGGAAGTCCGTCGAAAGATCACGACCGGTTTTGCCCCTCTTAGAGCTCATCAGGTAGGCGCAGTCCCCGAGTTTTCGTCAGCCTTATGTTCTACTTGAACCCATTTGCAAACTGGTTTGGTTTCCACGAGAGACTCAGCTGAATCTCTCGTTTATGCTATTCTAGAACTGAATGTGTTGGACACAGGCCGCCCCATGATTCAGTTGGCATCATATTCGAGATATCGCAATACATGTATGTATTTGTAATGCACTACTCATGAAGTTGCCTCGAAACTTCACAAACGAGAGATTTAGCTTGGTTTTAGTCGAATCTCTCGAAAAACCAAATTAGTTTGTAAATGAGTGTATATTTCATAATGATACTAGTTTTTCCCTAAATCAAGACAAAACAACCAGGTACTACCAAGATCCTTTCATTCGGTTAAAGGAAATACGGTGAACTACAGAGTAGGGCATGCAAGCCACCAAATTAATAGAGTTAATTATGCAATACTATTCACCTTAAACCGTTTTTGAGCTTGTTGTATTACTTAGTAAAGCTAGAATGTTTGTCTTCCTGTCACCATATATATGCCCACTTCAGACGGACAGAAGCAACCAATGAATGTGTTGTCAACAGTTCAGAAAGAATACTGATCAGTGCGATAGTAAGCAGGGCGTTATGTGACCTTCTTCCCAAGTTCTTTTCGAGAGGAGAGATTCACGCTTTTCATGAGTCATCTTCCTCCGGAAGACATTTACTCCGTTGTATTCCATGTTTGGAAACTTGGGCCGTGTTTGACAATACTTGACACAGAATGTGTTCACAAACTTCTGAGTGCTCTCCTCTACAATGCTGGGATGTAATAACCCACTTATTTTTGCGATGACAACAACAATTTTTTGGGGATGTTAGGGGATGCTTCAGGGGTAAAAAAGAATGATTCGAACCATTTTCTACTACCAGTTCCCCATTGCTTGAATCGACCTGTTTTCGGTGAGTAGAACACAATACAGTTTACCACACCTGACAAGTGAGAAGAGAAAAACGTCATAGATGAAAGTAACAGGTACTTGCGTGGTGTTTACGGGGTTGAGATTCAAGTTTATGCCTACAGTTGTAAGGTTACCCTCCTTACTAAGAGGGGACTTTATTCGTACTGTAAAAACGTTACTGCTTAAACGAGTTCTTGGGTGAAAGTTAAAGTAACTGCAAGTTGTCCAGGCTCAATATTCTCCTTCATTGTAAGCGCAGATAGAAATTTCTTAAGAAAATTGGGGACGGTGCCACATGAGAATGCTACTTCGATAGAATGTCTACTCCGAATCATTCCAGCTGCCGCTTCCGTAAATAAGACATCCATCATACAGATTACACGTCCGTTATACCAACAAATTATACTTTTTTCTTGGTATTACACAAGTTTTGTCTTGTGTAAAAGTGTGAAATTTGGGTGCCTAAATTGCAGAGGTTAAAAAACAGAGCGGCAAGATGTTTGATGACCAAACGCGGTTGATTTTGTGGAAGATGCTTTGTAGTTCACTTACTTCCCCGGGTTGAAAATGACTGAAATGGTTCCAGAATTCCTTGCTATTGGCACTGAACAACAAGTCAACATCGAGCACGATTAGCTAGAGTCAAAATGAAAGAGATCACAAAAATGAGTACTTCCCACATGAGACGGTAGTTCAGAGGAGGACGCGCAAAGGAAAAAACCCTTTTAAACCTAACGTGACTTCTGAATGATTGGGATATGTAAGACCATCTTTCTATACCCTTATGTACAGAAATGCTTGACTGATATACACCGTGAACATATCCAATTTTCTGTTGACCAGAGCAACAAATTATACGTTTTGATTTGACAGCCTCTAGATGGCAGGGAGTATAATACATCTAAGGGTCCGGTGCTAGGTATACGCCAAAAATACGATTACTGGGCCATGTTTTATAGATAGGACAAGATAGCGTAGACTACATACTGCATTCTTCTTAGTAGCATAAGCCAGATCCGGCGAATCAATGGCGACTTTGGGTGAAATGACGTTATCCTGAGGAATGCAAGAGAAAATCAGTTACACAAGCCCATTGCTGTCAAAATTCGGCATATCACTACCGTGAATGATGCTAAAATATAGGTATATCGTGGATGTATATGTATCAAGCTGGAAATCGTTACGGCACTTCCGCGTCCGAGATCCTTGGGCAGTTGATACAGTTCAACTTGACGCTGCTCCTTTTCCGGTTACAGAACCGTTTTTTCCCATCAAATCCGCGGTGTGGCTAGCTGAAATTGTGTAGGCCGATTTTGCTGGACATTAAGGCTAGGTGTCTCTTGAGAGCAGTACGATGTGTTATGGAATAATTTGCGAATTTTCCGGGGTATTCTAGACCAAATTCTACAGCTTCGATGGGAACTCTTATAAAGGGGATTGGAGAAGATGGCTAGCTGTCTTCGTACTTCCAAGCTGTCTCTCCGTTCCTATCATCGCTTCCTGTGGCTGTAATTTATACGGGTTTCCTATGAGGTCTATTAATCTCGGCTCTTCATGGGCTACTTTTTAAGAACGAACATTTGTGCCGAATGTACAAAAAACTCAAAGTGGAGCAGTCTTGGTTTAGTGGTCGTTTGTCCTGGTCATTCAACCGTACCATCACGTACTATGCTGTTCTCACCAATGATCATGGGTAACAAGATTCGAGCATGATCTGGAAAGTTAAGTGGACCGCGGGGACTTTATTATAACTATCGCCATTGAGAGTGCTGGTTATGATATTACACCTTCGCTAAGTCACCAAGCGCAACGGTATTTGAGGTCCCATAATCAAACACATTTGAGCCGTTAACTAATAACAGGATCTGTTTTTCTAGTTGTCTGGGGTGTAGTTTTGAATGCAGTTTTTTGAAAGGCAATCAGATACAATCTTGTCACCGCAGAATTAAGATCAATTTTCCTAAATCCCCCATCAGGACGGTGGACTATGTTCTGATGGAAATCAATGATAGGTCAAAAGAGAAGTGACCGTCAAACTGAACGAATCCCGCAACCGAAAACGTACCTTTTGTACATCACTGTCCACTATCTACGGAGCCATGAGTTTCATCATGGCAGAATAACCAGCGTAGTGTTTTGTCCTTCCATGACCAATCAGGTTCTAGGAAAAAGAGAAACCAATTCCAAATTCTCCAAAAAAGTAAATAGATAAGAACGTACTGGATAGTTTCTAAAATAGACATTATTCCACATGCCTGAGTAAGGCTCAGTTAATGTCAAAAAGGCTGGAGAAAGGAGAGGAGCACGAAATTACTGTATGAAACAAGCCGACGCTGAGTAAACTTGTGTAGGGTCCTGTCACTAGTTATGCCGGCCTTATGAATCTTGATAAGTGAATTGAAACGTACAATTCATTAAGTGGAACTCGAACATTCAAATTTTGAACTTCGTGGTTTGCCAGTACTGTGTTGAACTCGCATTTATTAGTGGTATAGTGCGCACTGAGACTGACTGTTTCCTAGCATGAGTTACTTGGTCGTTACGAGGAATCTTTCAAACTTCAAATGCACGAGTCTCTCCTGTCTCGGGTAGATTTTTCGCATTTTCATGGGGGTTAGTGAATACGAACCGGTTATGACTCCTTTATTGATTTGCCACTTCGCTTTCTCGGTAAATGACAACTAGGCTTCAGGTATCCCACATATGTGACAGAATGTCGTGATCTTCATGTTACTGACGTATATCATTAGTGAATACCACAAAGAACGCAAGATGCCACGTCGAAAGTCAGTCGATGCTAATGAACAGAATTTGTGTGTGGCTTAGATTGGTTGTGGGGGCTTTCATAGTGTTTATTTTCGAGTTTAGCACACTGCTACGCTAAAACACTGAGAGATGAAAAGTTAGCACTGTCAATGATCTGAATACATTCCTGGTGACCAATGAAGCTCATGATTCTGACTAAACAACGTAACTGTTCGGCAAGGCCTGGACTAGAGTGATGCGAATAACCAGTACGCAGTGAATTGCTTCTCGAAGGAGGTCAACTGTTCTGGAAAGTCCTTAACAGGCTTTCCATCTTCCTTGACTTAGTCCATAGAAGGAGAGGGGAACAGTACATATATTTGTGGTCTTTCTAAGACCACAGCATCAAAACTTTAAGACTTCCTCATCATTTATAAGGATGATGCTTTGGAATTATCACCCGAGATCTAGGTACATAGGGAAATAGACCAACACAAAATTCACCAGGCAGTTTTCAAACGGGTAAAGAGTGACTTGCAATAAATTGGATTGGTTTCATCCTTTGATCAGATCAGCGACCAAACCTCGGGAACTCTTGTCTACCACCCAATGCATGTTCAAATATTGTCTAGGTGGAGGAGAGTGATGGTCGCAGTTGATATCCCCATGGCGAATCCAACCAGTTGAACATTCCGGAAGCTAGCAGTTGAATTGACCCTGTGAGTACACAATGCTTTTGAGCATTGTAACAGCCTGATGGACGGCTGATGCTCCATGTAGCACGGAAAAAGCATGAATTATTTCAACTCTTTTGCTGTCAGCCATACAAATGTCAGCATCTCCAGATTCCCGCACACCGTGGGTGGATTGGCATTCTTCCTGTGACACAACAAGTCATAAAATAGTGTTCAAATAGCATTCAAATAGGGCTCTGCAAAAAGACGATTAATGTTGTACAAATGAGTTAGACGAGAGCTTTCTCCAAAATACATGTAAAATCTTAAGAAGTCTAGTCAGCATGACATTATAGAACGGTCAAATTCAAATTGCGATCACAACAGCCTGCAATTCACCATATTTTATGCAACTAAATATTTCAGTAAAAAGTATACAATGCTCCAATTTTGGGGCCTTTTGATTTGAAGCAGATAGGTATTAAGATATTTGAATTCCCCCCTTTCTCAGAAGGCAGACTGTCTTTGATCTCTGTGATTCAGCGATATCTATCATTCCGTTGTTTTATCATGACTTTATGAGATCTGAAAGGAGCCCAGTTGGAAATTCACAAATTGATATCGGTCTCTTACGGATCGTGTCCAGTAAATAATGTGAGGCCGTTTTTGTTCTCGTTTAATTTTGAGCACCTGTAGAACATTTCGAGGTTTTGAATTCACAGCTAGACCTTGTTTAAATAGTCGCCTGCCCATCGCGACACTTTTATCCGCAATTAGCACTCCTAAATCAATGAAAACTCAATTCGATTATTAATCTCGATTGGGCCACAGCGATAAATAAAATCCAGTCACCTGAAGCGCCGAAGGTGGCTCCCCCAATGCAATAATACATGCCTAATGAGTCGGTAAAGTGAGGTGCAGATTGCTTAAAGTCCAGAGTTTCCATTCATTGAGGAATTACATACACCACAGAGTCATAGAATTCTTCTCAGATTGTCCTGCTGCAGATCAAGTCTGTTTCTGGAAGTAGATGATCCGAAACCGAAGGACAACAAATAGGAAACAAGGCTGGTACTAATCCCTGTTTAACATTTTGCTAACATTTTCAGCTGTAAGAACCGCATAATTGTCGAAGTGTTGTGACTGCCACAATTTTGTTCACGATTGATTTGGGAGATGGGGTATGTAGATGTGCATTGAAGGCGAGAGCTGATAAATTGGTGTGGAAATTGAAGGAATGTTAAGTGGAGGGATTGGGGAGAAAGTAATGCGTTGAAGGCGATAGGTTGGATGCATGAACACTATTGAGGGTGTGACTGGGCCATGTCTGACAATGCCTCTTGCCATTGATATGGCCCGTTGCGGTTTCCTCATCCAGGGCGACGGCAATGACCAACGCAGCTGAGTTTTCTGGTAATGACCTCTATACTTCGCTGTCAAGTCATTGTTTGACGTCCCCTGGCTCGTTAACACCTTTCGCGTGGTTATGCGGAAAGACCGCTTCGAGGAAGTCGGTCGGCTGGTATACGGAGCACGTGGCCAAGCCAGCGCAACCTATGTAGTCTGATAAGTTCATCTATCGTGGGTGGGTTATTTCTTCCGAAGACCATTCGACGTAAATTAAGGCATTGCTGATCCGGTGTTCCCACTGGGGTGGGCAATACTCCGATGCCATCGATGGTCAAACACTTAAAGACTTTCGGTCAGGCTCGTAATCCATATAGTAATATGAAACGCACCGCAGCATTGCTAGCTCGACTCTTGACGGATAAGTTGATGTCACGACTACACCACAGATGACGCAGGTTCACAAAACTTTTTCTGGTCTTCCCGATCCGGATGGAAATATCATCTTTCGCGGGAACACCGGGAATGGTATAACTGCTCAGGTAGACAAAATTGTCTACTACCGCAATCGGTTGATTCGGAAGCACCAGGCTAGTGTTTGAGCCAACCTAGTCTTGCAGTAGCACTTTCAGCTTTACAGATATGAAGCGCAGAATTATTTAGATTATTTGATATTGTTTGCATTACCACGTGGTCAGATCCAAGAAGAGCTAAGTCATCTGTGTACCCAGCATCTGTGAGCGGACGCCCAGGGAACACATCGACCCCACAAGCATTAGAAGTTGATGATGAATCTTCCATGATCGCGTCAATAACGAAGTTTAACTGTCTGACCCCATTGATGTGTGAACTTAGAAGAGTGTCTCCAGTATACACAGCGCCCTAAGGAGGGTCAGTATTTTAGGGATAAAGTGATGATGTCGAACGTCACAGCACTTTCTCTTGATTGTCACTTATTTTCTCATAATTTTGTCCTCAGAGGTGCGGCTACGATCAAAATAAAACTCCCTCACACTATCTATTGTCTGATTTACGCCTGTGACTACGTCGATTGATGGATCATTCAGCTCTGACATTCTTTCAGTGCCTAGCTGCCACGCTAATCGATAAAAACACAGGGCCAAGATAGTCCCTGGTTTCGCAGATCTGGATAGAAGGAATCAAGATGTGGAAGTCGGGGACGAACCACGAACAATTCGATCTTGCGCTACTTGACGGTTCGACCAAGAACCATCGACAAGTCACTAAAGAGAAGGTATTTGCAAGAATTTTCAAACTGATCTACGAAACAGCACGCAACATTTGGTGTGAAATCTTGGTTGTGTTTTGGAAGGACCATAATTCCGGTCGTCGCAATTCATATGAATACTCATATGATCTCCTTGGAGAGGAGTAGAGAGGCTCATTACGTAGATAACTCGAGACAAGAAAAGTATCAATGAATGAAACATAAATGTTTGGCTTGATCCCGGAATAAATCCTCTCATGAACCTTAGGAATAACAGTTGATCTCAGGATTCTGCTTAACAAGGCAACTCACTTCATGGCCTTCTTGCGATGAGCCAAATGGTCTTACGACTATGCATACGAGAACCATGACGTACATGAGTTTGCTTAAGCTATATTTTGGCGCATTAATGTGCATTATTCCTGGCAAACCAAGTTTGCTTTTGAACACGCTGCCGGTCAAGTAAGCCTACACATCATTTGGAAAATGAGACGATCGATATGTCTCGTCCGCACGCTTGTTTCAATAGTCATACGTACGCCCATACACCATGAAAGTAACGCTATGGTTTAGGGTTGCATCATCGAATAAAAGCAACTCATAACACCCTTCAAATGATGTACCTTACGTGAACAATTAAAAAAATGCCTAGTTCTTATGCTTTCTCAATCATTCAGATTCATGTAATTTCTCAGTCATTAGTGATGCTAGTAGCTTAATTCGCTACCTCACACTTGCTTAGCAGTTGTCTGGTTCGATTGCGTGGTAGTGTTCGAGGGGGACAGCCAGGGAACAAACGTCGATCTCAGAGTAACTGGTTTTATCAATACTTCATCCAGGAATCCTGAAACACCCTAATCATAGTGTCCTGTGCCGGTCAAATAGAATGCTAGTGGATCGACGTGGGGACGTTAGCAACAGGCGATCATATGAAGTCACAAGATTCAGACACAGTAGACACTACAATGATAAACATCCAGACAAGAAAAAACACTAAGAAAACGGTGCCGACGATGCAAACAAATCTACCAGAAAAGCCTAGCAGCGCATCAAGGAACTCCCTATAGGACCATCTTAAACTATAAACTGTGTTTTGAACGGATGGTGCAGTGGGCAGTAGAAGTTAATAGACGGGTTTGTCGCCGTTATCCTTGCACTAGTTACCGCACAAAGGAGTGACTTGCTTAAGTTGCCGAACGACCTACTTTGAATGTCATGCTTGCGATTGATTGCGCAGCTTAAGGGAGAAAATTCTTTTTTGCATAAGATTCAATCGGGTGTCAGAGGAACGCCAGTATTTGCTATTAGCATGCCTATCTGGATGCAACTACTGGCAAGGATAATGGCGACAATAATGATGGAGATCTGCTACTGTAAGCTGCATAGTCCCAATTGCGCTAAAGTGACAGATAACTGCTTGCCCGAGTGTGCTATATGATGATGGGCTCCGCTGAAAATGTGCATGCATTACCCGATTCCTCAGTGAGTGCCCTCAACTGGGATGAAGGTGTTTAAATACCATACTGCCTGTTGGCTGCAAGTAGGGTCTATGCGTAACTTGTTATATCGCCTCAATGGCTAAACTATGCTTCTCTTTCCTGGCTCTGGCTATTCAGCGACCGCCGATGAACAGCAAATTTACTTCGACCAGTACACTCATCTGCATACCAGTTTGGTTTTGTTTAGAGGGCCATCTGGTGCATGTTTCTGATGTTTCTAAGCAACCGAATTTGCTGCATCAGGCCGCCCCATGTTTCAATTTGACACCATATTTGAGATATCGCAATACATATAAGCATAAGTCAACTTTCATACAATTTGGGTTCAAGTAGAACATAAGACTCGGGGACCGCGCCTACCTGATGAGCACAAAGAAATTCGGAACCGGCCGTGAGCTGTCGAAGAATTTTCAGTAACCTTACGAGCAGTGTATTCCATTTATAAGAAAAATATTTGTTTGTAATTTCGAAATCTCTTCACACTACTAACAGTCATTGAATAGCTCCGAAGACGAATGAGATTCATGTCATTGGTGAAGGTTCTATTTGAGAAATCCGGCAGCCAGTCAATACTTGACCACGTGATGTCCCCATGCTTGAAGCATGAGTGACGCCATGTTCTGTCTACTTTGTGAGCTAATCACACTGCTGACTAGCCACTCGTGACAAAGCAACTAAGTGTTCAACCAATGGCAGGAAGACCGCGGGTTTGAAACTCCCTGAGTTTTGTGAGATGCTCACTGCCGATGATTCCCAGTAAAGAAGAAACAACTGGACAATGCTTCTCGGCTTTTCACAATAGATCGGCCTCAACGATAAGACGAAATCTTCGTTAGAAACGGTAGGTTTATGTTTCCTAAATATTTG